TATAACAAGATCCCATCTCTAAAAGTAAATAAATAAAACCTTATGTTCATTTTCCCCCTTTCATTTTCAGATTTCCCATTTTGGCTACACTACATATGTGGCACATTATATAGAAATACACAGCGGTCCCCCCCTTATCTACAGGGGACATGTTCAAAGATCTCCAGTGGATGCCTGAAACCATGGATAGTACTGAATCCTATATGTATGTGTTTTTTCCTATACATATATATCCATGATAAAGTTTAATTTATAAATTAGCCACAGTAAGAGATTAAAAACAACTCATCATAAAATATGAGTTAAACTCATATGCAATATAATATATGCAATAAAATTGAATACGGTCAAACTCTGTAAAGTATTTGAAGAGATTTATTCTGAGCCAAATGTGAGCGACCATGGCACCTGACACAGCCCCAGGAGATTCTGGAACATGTGCCCAAGGTGGTGGTGTGGGGGGCTTCCAGGTCATAGGTGGATTCTAAGATTTTCTGGCTGTAAGTTGGTTGAAAGTTTATCTAAAGATCTGAAGTCAATAGAAGGGAATGTGTAGGTTAAGATAAGGGATGTGGAGACCAAGGGTCTTATTCTGTAGATGAAGCCTCCAGGTAGCAGGCTACAGAGGGAATTGGTTGTAAATGTCTCTTATCAGACTCTCTTGGATCAGGAGAAAGACCCAGACAGGGAAAGGGATTCTCTACAGAATGTAGATTTTTCCCACAAGAGGCAGCTTTGCAAGGCCATTTCAAAATAGGCCAAAGAAATATATTTCGGGGTAAAATACTTCAATTTCTTTCAGGGCCTGTTATCTGTCATGTTAGTAGCTTATTGCTAGATAGAGTCTGTTTTGTTAGTGTTAAGGTCTGTTTTAATGTAATGCTGGTCAGCTGTGCCTGAATTCCAAAGCGAGTGAGATGTCAGTCACCACCTGCGGAGGTCCGTCCTACAAACCCTGACTCAGTGACAGATGAATGAATACACTCACACACACTAGAATACCATGAATCTGAGTGGGCTAGGGATGGTCACTGGCTGCTTTCAGAGGGCGATTTCAGCTAACCAACCATAACTCCCTGTAACTCCTCACGTTTATTCAGGATAGTTTTAATAACAGAGGTTCTAAGTCAACATGCTTGTGGATAATTAACATGGTTAAAAGAGTGGTTTTAAGAATGATAAAAGCTTTAGGTTCCAGGGTCCAGAGTAAACACCATTAACTTGTAACTCTCCTTTGATCTCCCCCTGAGAGGACCATCCAGCACTAAGTTTACATGAGCAAACAAATTAGAGTGGAGACAAAGGCTTCCCAGACTTAACTGGGAAGCCTTTATTGTCCCTATCTCTTACCCTATGCTAACATAATGAACTGGCTGCCTTCAGCCCATTCCATTAAAACCTTTCGGCCTTCCAAAAGGTTTGAGACTATAATCTTCTAACTTTCTTTAATATTTCCCTAGTATTTTGCCAGCCACCCCGAGTGAATCTCAACAATGGAGGAAGGTAAACTGAGGCATGTCTGACCCCCTCCTCCCTACTTCACATCATGGCCTGAACTTGTGTTTCAGGTTTACTTTAGAATGCCCTTGGCCAAGAGGAGGGGTCCATTTGGTTGGTGGGCTTAGAATTTTATTTTTGGTTTACAATAACATGCTGTAATAAAAGTTATGTAAATATAGGCGAGGTGCAGTGGCTCACGCTTGTAATCCCAGCACTTTGGGAGGCCAAGGCGGGTGGATCACAAGATCAGGAGTTCAAGACTAGCCTGGCCAACATGATAAAACCCCGTCTCTATTAAAAATTTAAAAAATTAGCCAAGTGTGGTGGTGCACACCTATAATCCTAGCTACTAGGGAGGCTGAGGCAGGAGAATTGCTTGAACATGGGAGGTGGAGGTTGCAGTGAGCCAAGATCACGACATTGCACTCCAGCCTGGGGGACAAGAGCGAAACTCTGTCTCAAAAAAAAGTTATGTAAATATCATCTCTCTCACACACAATACTGTAGTCACATATTTTTGGACCATGGGCAACTGAAACATTGGAAAGTGAAGCCTTCAATACGTGTTAACTACTGTGTAGGTGCCATGTAGTTGTTTGTGGAGTCCTAATGAGGGAAAAGGAGTCAGGCTGGCAGGACCGGGGAAAGCAAAGGAAAGTGGATAAGCTATAAGCTATAGGTTTGCTTTTCTTTATGGCCCAGGACATATGGCCCTCCTGCACAAATAATGTACATAACTCACAAACTTCCTGCTTTTGTCATCAAACACCTCGGCTGACAGAAGAATGCAAGTGAGCTGCCTGCTGCCTTAGCGTTATCAATCAGACCAAGAACCATCCTATAAAATCCTCAGCAAGCCTTCGTTCCCTTGCAGTCAGCTCCGCTCCTGCTGATTCTGCCCATCTCGACCTTATGATATATATCCTACTTTCTCTAATAAATCTGCCTTTCTTAACATACAACTCTCTTGGGAAATTCTTTTCTCCCAGCACCACTGACCCTGATAGGTGCTGCTCACCCACAACAGGGTTCACATATGGAAAAAATAAAACCACAAGTTCTATGTTTTCAGAAAAAATTGTAGGTTGTTCTTTAATCAGATTTCTGCTGTGCAGTTATCTGTTTCATCTAAGAACAAGGGGGAAAGGAAGTGTTATTTCTGAAAAGGGTATTTTTAATGGCCTCCAGGTTCACTGAGAAGCCATAGCACTTAACTTTCAACCTTCACTTCCTTTGCAGCCCCTCACCTTTTAGCAAAGTCTCATGAGCATGCATCTGCTGCCCTGCGTACAGAGGCAGGGGCTAGGGGACAAGCCCAGGAGGGCCTAAGGAGCTAAATCCCCAGCTGCCCTTGACCACCAAGAGGCTGTGTTCTAACAGCTAAATTAGGAGGTTCTGGGTTTTAATTAAGAAAGCGAAAATTTGGCCAGTGCAGTGGTTCACTCCTGTAATCCCAGCACTTTGGGAGGCCAAGATGGGTGGATCACCTGAGGCCAGGAGTTTGAGACCAGCCTGGCCAACACGGTGAAACCGTGTCTCTACAAAAACAATACAAAAATTAGCCGGATGTGGTGGCGCAGGCCTGTAATCCCAGCTACGTCAGAGGTTGAGGCACAAGAATCACTTGAACCGCGGAGGTGGAGGTTGCAGTGAGCCGACACTCTGTCTCAAAATAAATAAATAAATAAAAATATTTTTCTGATTACACAAGAACGCATGTTCACAATGGAAAATTTAAAAATTAAACCAAAATCACCCCAATGTCTTCTTATGCCATTTCATAAAAGATGTAGAGGGATTACTCAAATGGTTGTGCCTTTTACTGTAATGTCATCAAATTAAGAATGACAGATAACCCTTCAAAAGTGATGTCACAGACAGCTAAGGGGCGGTAATTCAGCGGGGACTTGGGAGCCTCCCAGAGTGGGTTTCATGGTGCTGGTTGTTCTCCTTCCCTGTCAAGGTCAGTAACACATGGGACCCTGAATGTTCATCTTTCCACACTATTGATTGATACAGCCCTACCCTGGGGAAAGGGAATGACACCATGAAACCTGGATGGTTAGACAATTCCACTTACCCCACTCCCTGCCCCCATCCCTGCCTCTAAGCAGACCCTAAGCAAGGATGTGGAGCCGGTGCCTCTCCCCAGGAACCGGACACACAGGGCGGTGGCTGCCAGCTGCAGTGCCGAGGCCCTCCCTGTGGTGCTCGAAGCATAACTGGATCCTGCCCCACCCTCGGAGCCCTTGTTCCAAGTCCTCTTGTCCCCATTCTTTAAAAAATACCAAGAATGGGCTGGCCACAGTGGCTCACACCTGTAATCCAAGCACTTTGGGAGGCCGAGGTGGGAGGATCACCAGGTCAGGAGATCAAGAGCAGCCTGGCCAACATAGCAAAACCCCGTCTCTACTAAAAATACAAAAATTAGCCAGGAATGGTAGTGGGTGCCTGTAGTCCCAGCTACTTGGGAGGCTGAGGTAGAAGAATTGTTTGAACCTGGGAGATGGAGGTTGCAGCGAGCCGAGATCACACCACTGCACAGCCTGGGCAACAGAGCAAGAACCCATCTCTAAAAAAAAAAAAAAAAAAATGCTGTGCAGAGGAGGGAGTATGAGGGACAAAACCAGCACAACCCAGCCCTTCTTGCCCCTGCTCTCCCACTCATCCCTGCCGCATCTCCTGCTGCTCTTGACTCCTATCTGTCACCCCAGCCTGGATACTAAGGGAAAGTGCACCAGGTAAAGGAGGAGGGGTCAGGCTCCACTGCCTGCCAAAGAAGTCCTTCCTGGCTCCCTGGAACGCTGTGCGGCTCCTGCGTTTGAGCCTGATCGTCCATCTGCTCCTGCATGGCTGTGTGCCGGGATCACGTTTCCAGCAAGTAACACAAATGGCCCAGAAACTTTAGCTGTCTTTTCCGTAACACTTGAGTGAAACAGAAAGGCACCTGGTGCTGACTCGTGAAGTCGCTGTAAACTCTGTTACTATAAATGGAACACTAATATCATTTGACATTTTCAGAAGCGGGCAGTATGTGTGTGAATAGGTATATGATCCACCAGTCCCCAGGGAAGCAGAAACACCCACGGAGCAGGAGACTGCTGTCACCCTTGTCTGGTTCACCTACTTCCCCGCTCCGTGCAGGCTTCCGGGCAGCTGGTGGCCGTTTTGGAGCTGAGCTCCCTGCACCTCCTTGCAGCACCCCACTTCACTCCCTTCTCTCCCTAGAAGTGGGATGAGACTCCAGTACTGAGTAGAGGAGACAGAGAAGCACCATTTATCTCCTTGTGCCCGGGAAGAGTCACACCACCAAGCGAGGGCAGCTGTCTACCCACAGTGAAGTCGTGGGGTCCCCATGGCTGTGGGGGGTGGGCAACATCTCCTCTGAGCAGGGGTGACTAAGTGGTCATCACAGGCCCTCCTACCATAACCCAGACCCACAGACAGCAGCAATTTCAGATCCTAGGAACCATCTTCCATGCACACATACAAACACGCAGTGAATGTGGCATCCCACAATTGTTCCCTTTATTTCTGAACTGCCCCCGCTGCACAGATAAGGCCACTTGGGTTGCAGGCACACTGTGGAGTGTCAGAGGACAGAGAGGAGAGGGGCTGCGCACAAAGACCGCCCTGCCCTCACGGGGAGGAAAAGCGGCCGCAGAAGAGAATCCCGTTGGTCTTGCTGTGCTGGATGAAGAAAAGGAAGGGGTGGTCGGCACAGAAGCGGGGGGTGAATCTGGCGCACCGCAGCATCACGATGGCAGCTGTGGCAGCCGCAGCCTCAGTGCCTTCCTCGTTGACCTCCACAAAGGATTTGTGCACGACCTTGGACAGAAACAGGTCTGCCTTGGACATTCCGGAGAAGTCTGCCTTGCCCACCTCGAAGGCGTCGGTCATGCCCAGGTTGCGCAGGACGCGCTCCATGTCGTAGCTTTCCTCCAGTTTAAACCGCGGGAGAAACACTTCCACCTCCTCTTCATCCATCATGTCCAGCCTCGTCCATTCTATGAACTTCTCGTAAGTGATTTCTTTCTCCACCTAGAGGGAGACAGCGGAAGACTTTAAGACCTGGTTTGCTGCTGCCCAGCAGGGCCCCGTGCGACGCTGTGATGCCGGACGCTGGCAGCAGCGGGGCCATGGCCCGCAGGGATCTGTGTTAGAATGCAGCCACAGCAGATACCCCCGAGTGATCCCCTTGCGAGCACACCTCGCTCTCGGCTCAGCAGTTACCGTTCTCAAGTCGGTGGTCTCGTCCGGAAGCATGATGATCATATTCAGCTCCTGGCCGACATAGGGAAGCACCAGGATCTGGGTAAAGATTTCTCCTATATAGGTCTTCTTAAAAGTAGATTTCTTAAACATCATTTGCACAGGTTTCTTTTCATTCTACAAACAAAACAGATAAACATGAGGTTGAAAGAAGACCCCACTGACACATGGCACAAATTCATCAGAGCCGGCCACTCTCTGCAGGGAGAGACGTGGCAGTGCCTTCACTGCCATCTTCATTACTGCAACCTCCACAAACTGGGGTGCCCGGGGCCCAAACCCGAGGCGTCTTTCCTCTCATTGGTCTCAGTCAGTCTCATGGCTTTAAACACAATATCAGACCAAATTTACCTCCAGCCTGACCTCTGCCCTTCTTTGGGACTCCTGTACTTTACTGCCCACTTGACACCTATGTTTGGACATAAACTCCCAATGTCACCTGTAATGTGGAGCTCCATGGGTCCTCCAAGTCGGCTCTGTCTACAACTCTGCCCACCTCAGCTGAGAGCAACGCCACCATCCGGTGGCCGAAAGCCCTGGAGTGCCCTTGATGCCAGTCTTTACCCTGCGTCTGACTCACTGGTAAATTATACTGGCTCTACCTTGTAAATATATAACCAAAATCTGACCTGTTCCTTCTGCCTCTGCTGCTACCAGCCTAGCCCTGGAATAACTGTGATAATATGACTGTGATTGTTTCCGGCAGAGAGGCCAGAGGGGCACAGTAGCACCTAAGTCAGATTACATTGTTCTTTGGCCAGACACCCTTCCCTGGCTCCCCATCTACTTGGAGCAGAGCCAAAAGTCCCTAAAATGACCTGAAATTGTGATAAGAGCTCGTCCCCAGTTCCCTCTGCCTTTGCTTGTCTGCTACAGTCACAGGGGCCTCCTCACTGCTATGCCAGCAAACTCGGTTCATCTCATCTCTATGCAGTACGCCCGTCCCCCAGAACCTGGGGAGTGAACCTCTGCCTCTTTTTGGTCTTTGCTCAAAAATCACCTTGGCAGAGAAGGTGTCCTTGATAGATCTTACCTGACAGGACACCCCCACCCCAAACACAGCATCTTCCCTAAAGCTTTTATCATTCGTAAAACCACTCTTTTAACCATGTTAATTATCCGCAAGCATGTTGACTTAGAAGCTCTGATATTAAATCTATCCTGAATAAACGTGAGGAGTCACAGGGAGTTACAGTTGGTTAGCTGCAATCGCCCTCTGAAAGCAGCCAATGCTACAAAGGGAGTGCCTTGGTATGCCTCTGTAGCATTTACCACTGCCTAATACAGTCCTATTTTTTTATTTATGCTTGCTGTCGCTCCCCCAAGACAACGTAAGCTTCACCAGGGTAGGCATGCTTTGCTGATTTTGTGCACAGCTGAAAAATACCTAGCACCATGCCTCATAGATAGAAGACACCAAGTCAAGCCAGGCACGATGGCTCATGCCTGTAATCCCACCACTTTGGGAGGCTAGGCAGACGGATCATCTGAGGTCAGAAGTTCAAGACCAACCTGGCCAACATGGTGAAACTTCATCTCTACTAAAAATACAAAAATTAGCCGGGTGTGATGGTGGGCACCTGTAATCCCAGCTACTCAGGAGGTTTAGGTAGGAGAATCGCTTGAACCCAGGAGGCAGAGGTTGCAGTGGGCCAAGACTGCACCACTGCACTCCAGCCTGGGAGACAGCATGAGACTCCATCTCCAAA